AGAGTCTGTTTTTTAGCACCTGCAAAAACATGCTGTTTACATATTTGACAAGAATGCAGAGGCTTCCTTTTGCCCCTGAAAAAAATCAAATTTCAAACACAACTTGACTGTTCATTTCTCCAAAAGACAACCATGAAGCTCCATTTCAAACCTGAAGCAGATAGTTGGTGCATGTGTACAGTAACCTGAGGGGAGTGAGGTGACTATTTCTGAGGAGAACATGAGCAGTGAAGATTCACCTTGGAGCTAGAACAGGGACGTGCACATGATTATACAGGGGCAGGGGCTCAAGTTTTTTCCAGTCATTTATACAATATGGAAATTAATGTGAAATTAAACCACAAATATGTGTGATGAACTGTTTTTAAAACTTAAACTTCAAATAAAAATTGTAAACTTCAAAACATATGCAAATTTTTAACAAAGAACATAGTGATTTACCTCTATTTACATCAAAATGCAGGCAATGGCCCAGGCGTTCTTTGTAAAATTATTTACAAAACACTGTATAGTCTCACAAATGTCACTTTTTATTTATGCCACTACAAAAAAACATGATGTAAATGATGCATGATGTAAAACATGATGTAAAAAACTTGTGTAGATCCTCCTCTATGTCAGTCCATGTGTAATTTTTCCATAATTCTTTGTTTTTTGCAGCATTTTTGTTAGTGTAACTGCAGATTGTGCTGACAGTGTCTATGGCACAAAAAAAAAAAAAAAACTGAAAATGCCTCAACATGAACCCCTGGTGGTCTCTGAGGGTGAAACCTGCTAACTGCTGCAGCTCTGTCAGCTTCAGTCTCCCATGCAGAGCTCGGAGCGCATGTGTGGCTCTGCACCCTTAGCAGCGTTGCTAACTCCTCAATAAGGAAAGCCTGCTTCATGTCAGAGTCTCTAAACTCCAGAAGAAGTCGATAAAAGTCCCTTTCTTTCTAAAAAAAAGTCGTTAGGGGGTCTGAAAAGTCATTGAATCTAACAACAAAGTCGCTAGGTTTGAAACTACGTGTCCCAGACTGCATCCCTGCTGAGAGTCCCTCCCTCCCTTCTCAAGTTGCAGGAAGAACGCGAGCGCCCATCCCGTGTCAATCAGTCACCATATAATTTTGGATTGGTTGTTGTGGTGAAGTTTTCCACCAATAGGAGAGATGTTGTGGTGTGTTTTTTTCTTTTCTTTTGGCAAGTCTTTTCCGCCTGTAAGAGCTGTCGCTAATGTCTGCATGCTATGTTTTCCTGTCTCATACAGCGCGATCGAGCGCCGAACGTGATCAAAATAAGCAGAAAAAAAGTATCGCAGACATAATTTATCATAACTCTGGTTTTATTTGGCCTATCAACACAATTTAAAAACTGGTATATAGTTTGAGGTCCTCACTTTTAAGATAGGTTGAAACGGAGAATCAACGAGACTCCGTCTTGCAGCTACATCCGGTTAAATATGTCATGTGACTTGAACGCACACACAGACACACACACACACACACACGCACACACACACACACACACACACACACACACACACACTCAGAGTCTGGTTTTTAGCACCTGCAAAAACATGCTATTTACATATTTGACAAGAATGCAGAGGCTCCTTTTGCCCCTGAAAAAAATCAAATTTCAAACACAACTTGACTGGTCATTTCTCCAAAAGACAACCATGAAGCTCCATCCAAACCTGAAGCAGGCAGTTGGTGCATGTGTACAGTAACCTGAGGGGAGTGAGGTGAGTGCTTCTGAGGAGAACATGAGCAGTGAAGATTCACCTTGGAGCTAGAACAGAGACATGCACATGATTATACAGGGGCAGGGGCTCAAGTTTTTTCCAGTCGTTTATACAATATGGAAATTAATGTGAAATTAAAACACAAAGTATTAATAGAAAGGTAATGACTGTCCTGTGTAGGTCACAGTGATATCCAATAGGCTAGGCACTCACGAGGCTGGCTGTGGCAAGTGTAAGTGAAAGCAACACGCACTGGCAGGAAGAACAGCAAACGCCGATGAAGGAAAAGGGTCTTTGCAGTGATGGGCGTTACCAGAGAGGGCGATGGCCAGAGGACACAAATGGGACGGGAAGGCAGCACGTTGGGGGGGGGGGGGGGGGCCCACGCGACACGGCTCGGGCCCGCCAGTGCCCCAACGGGGTCCTAGTTTGTTATTATTATTTTTCCTCCCCTTTAAACTGGAAAATGGCCCACTTCCCACTGGCGAAAACTCAGGAAATTTGGCAGGACGACCGGGCCTGGTGAAAAATTCGATATTCTGAAGTCGCCCAAACAAGAAAATGCAAAATGGCTCCATAGCGCCCCCTAAGGTGAAAAATTCACCTGACGCCTGTACGCTTTGTCAAAATTACACAAAAATTGACACACACATGTATCTCAATAAGATCTACAAAAAAGTCAGTGCAGGCGTATCTTTCAAATGTACGGTTAAAGGGTTATTGCGCATTTTTTGCCGATCCGCACACATTGGAATTTCGCTAACTCCTCCGAAGGCTTTCGTTCCACCGGCACCACATTTGCTCAGGCCAATCTACACCCCATGGCCATTAAAAGTTATTCAAATCATGACGCTGCACCCCACGGTTTAGGTTCTAGGGGGCGCCAAAGATAACCCTAAAATCCACATATTTCAAAGTCTTATAACTTTTTATTTTTGCCCTCACTGGCCTCCAAGTTTTCTAGGATGATGCAATGTCCAGCCATCAACACATTTGTGAAGGAATTTTTACTCCCCAAAAGAGCGCCCCCCCATGGCAGGAGAAAAAAGTCCATTTTTTCTTGTCCCATAAGGTGAAAATTCACACTATTGACTGTCACGCCTGTACGCTTTGTCAAAATTACACAAAAATTGACACACACATGTATCTCAATAAGATCTACAAAAAAGTCAGTGCGGGCGTATCTGTCAAATGTACGGTTAAAGGGTTATTGCGCATTTTTTGCCGATCCGCACACATTGGAATTTCGCTAACTCCTCCGAAGGCTTTCGTTCCACCGGCACCACATTTGCTCAGGCCAATCTACACCCCATGGCCATTAAAAGTTATTCAAATCATGACGCTGCACCCCACGGTTTAGGTTCTAGGGGGCGCCAAAGATAACCCTAAAATCCACATATTTAAAAGTCTTATAACTTTTTATTTTTGTCCTCACTGGCCTCCAAGTTTTCTAGGATGATGCAATGTCCAGCCATCAACACATTTGTGAAGGAATTTTTACTCCCCAAAAGAGCGCCCCCCCCATGGCAGGAGAAAAAAGTCCATTTATTCTTGTCCCATAAGGTGAAAATACACATTGTTGACTGTCATACCTGTACGCTTTGTCATATTGACACAAAATTTGACAATCACATGTATCTCAATAAGAGCTACGAAAAAGTCAATGCGCGCGTATCTGTCAAATGTACGGTTAAAGGGCTATTTTGCATTTTTTGCTGATTCGCACACATTGGAAAGTGGCTAACTCCTCCTAAGGCTTTCGTCCCACTGACACCAAATTTGCTCAGGCCAATCTACACCCCATGACCATTCAAAGTTGTAAAAATCATGACGCTGCACCCCACGGTTTACGTTCTAGGGGGCGCCAAAGATGACCCAAATATCCAAATTCTTAAAAGAATCCACATCCCCCACCCCATCCCCCATCCCCCATGGCAGGAGAAACAGTCAAGTTTTTCCTGCCCATCATTCAATGGCTCAATCGCATCGCTCTCCTGGCAACACCGTAACGAGGAGCAACTTACCGTTTTGATATATCCTAGCTGTGTTTGTGCCCTCACTCATGGTCCACACTTTTTTCAAATAGGACATGTAGTTTGTCTGCAGCGAGTGTTTTGGTAGAAACTGCGCCTCCCATTCATTATAATGGGAAATGACCACAGACAAGTGCGCACACCATCTTTGGACCTTGAGTGTGACGCGATCGGGAGGGGGAGGCGGTTGCGCTGGGGGCGGCGCAACACGGCTCGGGCCCGAAAGTGCCCCACCGGAGCCCTAGTTCTTTCTTTCTTTCTTCTTTTTCCTCCCCTTTGAACTGGAAAATGGCCCACTTCCCACTGGCGAAAACTCATGAAATTTGGCAGGACGACCGGGCCTGGTGAAAAATTCGATATTCTGAAGTCGCCCAAACAATAAAATGCAAAATGGCTCCATAGCGCCCCCTAAGGTGGAAATTCACACTATTGACTGTCACGCCTGTACGCTTTGTCATATTGACACAAAAATTGACACACATATGTATCTCAATAAGATCTACAAAAAAGTCAGTGCGGCCGTATCTGTCAAAATTACGGTTAAAGGGTTATTTCGCATTTTTTGCCGATCCGCACACATTGGAATTTCGCTAACTCCTCCGAAGGCTTTCGTTCCACCGGCACCACATTTGCTCAGGCCAATCTACACCCCGTGGCCATTAAAAGTTATCAAAATCATGACGCTGCACCCCAAGGTTTAGGTTCTAGGGGGCGCCAAAGATAACACTAAAATCCACATATTTAAAAGTCTTATAACTTTTTATTTTTGTCCTCACTGGCCTCCAAGTTTTCTAGGATGATGCAATGTCCAGCCATCAACACATTTGTGAAGGAATTTTTACTCCCCAAAAGAGCGCCCCCCCATGGCAGGAGAAAAAAGTCCATTTTTTCTTGTCCCCTAAGGTGAAAATACACATTGTTGAGTGTCACGCCTATACGCTTTGTCAAAATGACACAAAAATTGACACACACATGTAACTCAATAAGATCTACGAAAAAGTCAATGCGCGCGTATCTGTCAAATGTACGGTTAAAGGGTTATTCCGCATTTTTTGCCGATCCGCACACATTGGAATGTGGCTAACTCCTCCTAAGGCTTTCGTTCCACCGGCACCACATTTGCTCAGGCCAATCTACACCCCATGGCCATTAAAAGTTATTCAAATCATGACGCTGCACCCCACGGTTTAGGTTCTAGGGGGCGCCAAAGATAACCCTAAAATCCACATATTTAAAAGTCTTATAACTTTTTATTTTTGTCCTCACTGGCCTCCAAGTTTTCTAGGATGATGCAATGTCCAGCCATCAACACATTTGTGAAGGAATTTTTACTCCCCAAAAGAGCGCCCCCCCCCATGGCAGGAGAAAAAAGTCCATTTTTTCTTGTCCCCTAAGGTGAAAATACATATTGTTGAGATTCACGCCTATACGCTTTGTCATATTGACACAAAATTTGACAATCACGTGCCTTGCCTGGTATCATTTTTTTCAGCACAACCTCACCTGTGCGAATTTACAGTTATTTTATCATGTTGACATACTGAATTTACACAATGGACCCAAATTCACACACAAAACATAAAATCCGAGTGGAAAAAAGTAACATTTTTACTGTGAAAACCACAAATATGTGTGATGAACTGTTTTTAAAACTTGAACTTCAAATAAAAATTGTAAACTTCAAAACATATGCAAATTTTAAACAAAGAACATAGTGATTTACCTCTATTTACATCAAAATGCAGGCAATGGCCCAGGCGTTCTTTGTAAAATTATTTACAAAACACTGTATAGTCTCACAAATGTCACTTTTTATTTATGCCACTACAAAAAAACATGATGTAAATGATGCATGATGTAAAACATGATGTAAAAAACTTGTGTAGATCCTCCTCTATGTCAGTCCATGTGTAATTTTTCCATAATTCTTTGTTTTTTGCAGCATTTTTGTTAGTGTAACTGCAGATTGTGCTGACAGTGTCTATGGCACAAAAAAAAAAAAAATTAAAATGCCTCAACATGAACCCTTGGTGGTCTCTGAGGGTGAAACCTGCTAACTGCTGCAGCTCTGTCAGCTTCAGTCTCCCATGCAGAGCTCTGAGCGCATGTGTGGCTCTGCACCCTTAGCAGCGTTGCTAACTCCTCAGTAAGGAAAGCCTGCTTCATGTCAGAGTCTCTAAACTCCAGAAGAAGTCGATAAAAGTCCCTTTCTTTCTAAAAAAAAGTCGTTAGGGGGTCTGAAAAGTCATTGAATCTAACTACAAAGTCGCTAGGTTTGCAACTACGTGTCCCAGACTGCATCCCTGCTGAGAGTCCCTCCCTCGTTTCTCATGTTGCAGGAAGAACGTAAGCGCCCGCCCCTTGTCAATCAGTCACCATATAATTTTGGATTGGTTGTTGTGGTGAAGTTTTCCACCAATAGGAGAGATGTTGTGGTGTGTTTTTTTTTTCTTTTGGCAAGCCTTTTCCGCCTGTAAGACCTGTCGCTAATGTCTGCATGCTATGTTTTCCTGTCTCATACAGCGCGATCGAGCGCCGAACGTGATCAAAATAAGCAGAAAAAAAGTATCGCGGACATAATTTATCATAACTCTGGTTTTATTTGGCCTATCAACACAATTTAAAAACTGGTATATAGGTTGAGGTCCTCACTTTTGAGATAAGTTGAAACGGAGAGTCAACGAGGCTCCGTCTTGCAGCTACATCCGGTTAAATATGTCATGTGACTTGAACGCACACACAGACACACACACACGCACACACACACACACACACACACACACACACACACACACACACACACACACACACACACACACACACACTCAGAGTCTGGTTTTTAGCACCTGCAAAAACATGCTATTTACATATTTGACAAGAATGCAGAGGCTCCTTTTGCCCCTGAAAAAAATCAAATTTCAAACACAACTTGACTGGTCATTTCTCCAAAAGACAACCATGAAGCTCCATCCAAACCTGAAGCAGGCAGTTGGTGCATGTGTACAGTAACCTGAGGGGAGTGAGGTGAGTGCTTCTGAGGAGAACATGAGCAGTGAAGATTCACCTTGGAGCTAGAACAGAGACATGCACATGATTATACAGGGGCAGGGGCTCAAGTTTTTTCCAGTCGTTTATACAATATGGAAATTAATGTGAAATTAAAACACAAAGTATTAATAGAAAGGTAATGACTGTCCTGTGTAGGTGACAGTGATATCCAATAGGCTAGGCACTCACGAGGCTGGCTGTGGCAAGTGTAAGTGAAAGCAACACGCACTGGCAGGAAGAACAGCAAACGCCGATGAAGGAAAAGGGTCTTTGCAGTGATGGGCGTTACCAGAGAGGGCGATGGCCAGAGGACACAAATGGGACGGGAAGGCAGCACGTTGGGGGGGGGGGGGGGGACGCGACACGGCTCGGGCCCGCCAGTGCCCCAACGGGGTCCTAGTTCTTCTTTTTCCTCCCCTTTGAACTGGAAAATGGCCCACTTCCCACTGGCGAAAACTCAGGAAATTTGGCAGGACGACCGGGCCTGGTGAAAAATTCGATATTCTGAAGTCGCCCAAACAATAAAATGCAAAATGGCTCCATAGCGCCCCCTAAGGTGGAAATTCACACTATTGACTGTCACGCCTGTACGCTTTGTCATATTGACACAAAAATTGACACACATATGTATCTCAATAAGATCTACAAAAAAGTCAGTGCGGCCGTATCTGTCAAATGTACGGTTAAAGGGTTATTTCGCATTTTTTTCCGATCCGCACACATTGGAATTTCGCTAACTCCTCCGAAGGCTTTCGTTCCAAAGGCACCACATTTGCTCAGGCCAATCTACACCCCGTGGCCATTAAAAGTTATCAAAATCATGACGCTGCACCCCAAGGTTTAGGTTCTAGGGGGCGCCAAAGATAACACTAAAATCCACATATTTCAAAGTCTTATAACTTTTTATTTTTGTCCTCTCTGGCCTCCAAGTTTTCTAGGATGATGCAATGTCCAGCCATCAACACATTTGTGAAGGAATTTTTACTCCCCAAAAGAGCGCCCCCCCATGGCAGGAGAAAAAAGTCCATTTTTTCTTGTCCCCTAAGGTGAAAATACACATTGTTGACTGTCACGCCTTTACGCTTTGTCAAAATGACACAAAAATTGACACACACATGTAACTCAATAAGATCTACGAAAAAGTCAATGCGCGCGTATCTGTCAAATGTACGGTTAAAGGGTTATTCCGCATTTTTTGCCGATCCGCACACATTGGAATTTCGCTAACTCCTCCGAAGGCTTTCTGTCCACCGGCACCACATTTGCTCAGGCCAATCTACACCCCATGGCCATTAAAAGTTATTCAAATCATGACGCTGCACCCCACGGTTTAGGTTCTAGGGGGCGCCAAAGACAACCCTAAAATCCACATATTTAAAAGTCTTATAACTTTTTATTTTTGTCCTCACTGGCCTCCAAGTTTTCTAGGATGATGCAATGTCCAGCCATCAACACATTTGTGAAGGAATTTTTACTCCCCAAAAGAGCGCCCCCCCATGGCAGGAGAAAAAAGTCCATTTTTTCTTGTCCCCTAAGGTGAAAATACATATTGTTGAGATTCACGCCTATACGCTTTGTCATAATGACACAAAATTTGACAATCACGTGCCTTGCCTGGTATCATTTTTTTTCAGCACAACCTCACCTGTGCGAATTTACAGTTATTTTATCATGTTGACATACTGAATTTACACAATGGACCCAAATTCACACACAAAACATAAAATCCGAGTGGAAAAAAGTAACATTTTTACTGTGAAAACCACAAATATGTGTGATGAACTGTTTTTAAAACTTAAACTTCAAATAAAAATTGTAAACTTCAAAACATATGCAAATTTTTAACAAAGAACATAGTGATTTACCTCTATTTACATCAAAATGCAGGCAATGGCCCAGGCGTTCTTTGTAAAATTATTTACAAAACACTGTATAGTCTCACAAATGTCACTTTTTATTTATGCCACTACAAAAAAACATGATGTAAATGATGCATGATGTAAAACATGATGTAAAAAACTTGTGTAGATCCTCCTCTATGTCAGTCCATGTGTAATTTTTCCATAATTCTTTGTTTTTTGCAGCATTTTTGTTAGTGTAACTGCAGATTGTGCTGACAGTGTCTATGGCACAAAAAAAAAAAAAAAATTAAAATGCCTCAACATGAACCCCTGGTGGTCTCTGAGGGTGAAACCTGCTAACTGCTGCAGCTCTGTCAGCTTCAGTCTCCCATGCAGAGCTCTGAGCGCATGTGTGGCTCTGCACCCTTAGCAGCGTTGCTAACTCCTCAGTAAGGAAAGCCTGCTTCATGTCAGAGTCTCTAAACTCCAGAAGAAGTCGATAAAAGTCCCTTTCTTTCTAAAAAAAAGTCGTTAGGGGGTCTGAAAAGTCATTGAATCTAACAACAAAGTCGCTAGGTTTGCAACTACGTGTCCCAGACTGCATCCCTGCTGAGAGTCCCTCCCTCCCTTCTCATGTTGCAGGAAGAACGTAAGCGCCCTCCCCTTGTCAATCAGTCACCATATAATTTTGGATTGGTTGTTGTGGTGAAGTTTTCCACCAATAGGAGAGATGTTGTGGTGTGTTTTTTTTCTTTTGGCAAGCCTTTTCCGCCTGTAAGACCTGTCGCTAATGTCTGCATGCTATGTTTTCCTGTCTCATACAGCGCGATCGAGCGCCGAACGTGATCAAAATAAGCAGAAAAAAAGCATCGCGGACATAATTTATCATAACTCTGGTTTTATTTGGCTTATCAACACAATTTAAAAACTGGTATATAGGTTGAGGTCCTCACTTTTGAGATAAGTTGAAACGGAGAGTCAACGAGGCTCCGTCTTGCAGCTACATCCGGTTAAATATGTCATGTGACTTGAACGCACACACAGACACACACACACGCACACACACACACACACACACACACACACACACTCAGAGTCTGGTTTTTAGCACCTGCAAAAACATGCTATTTACATATTTGACAAGAATGCAGAGGCTCCTTTTGCCCCTGAAAAAAATCAAATTTCAAACACAACTTGACTGGTCATTTCTCCAAAAGACAACCATGAAGCTCCATCCAAACCTGAAGCAGGCAGTTGGTGCATGTGTACAGTAACCTGAGGGGAGTGAGGTGAGTGCTTCTGAGGAGAACATGAGCAGTGAAGATTCACCTTGGAGCTAGAACAGAGACATGCACATGATTATACAGGGGCAGGGGCTCAAGTTTTTTCCAGTCGTTTATACAATATGGAAATTAATGTGAAATTAAAACCCAAAGTATTAATAGAAAGGTAATGACTGTCCTGTGTAGGTGACAGTGATATCCAATAGGCTAGGCACTCACGAGGCTGGCTGTGGCAAGTGTAAGTGAAAGCAACACGCACTGGCAGGAAGAACAGCAAACGCCGATGAAGGAAAAGGGTCTTTGCAGTGATGGGCATTACCAGAGAGGGCGATGGCCAGAGGACACAAATGGGACGGGGAGGCAGCACGTTGGGGGGGGGGGAGCGCGACACGGCTCGGGCCCGCCAGTGCCCCAACGGGGTCCTAGTTCTTTCTTTCTTTCTTTAGGGCCCGAGCGTAGCTGCTAAGCAGCTGCGAGAGCCCTCTTGTTCCTGTAGTTTCCTTCTTTTGTTATTAGGGCCCGAGCCAGCTGCAGAGCAGCCGGGCGTAGGCCCTATTATTCCCCAAGTGGTTTTTCTTTGTTTCTTTCTTTCTTTTTTCTTTTTCCTCCCCTTTGAACTGGAAAATGGCCCACTTCCCACTGGCGAAAACTCATGAAATTTGGCAGGACGACCGGGCCTGGTGAAAAATTTGATATTCTGAAGTCGCCCAAACAATAAAATGCAAAATGGCTCCATAGCGCCCCCTAAGGTGAAAATTCACACTATTGACTGTCACGCCTGTACGCTTTGTCATATTGACACAAAAATTGACACACATATGTATCTCAATAAGATCTACAAAAAAGTCAGTGCGGCCGTATCTGTCAAAATTACGGTTAAAGGGTTATTTCGCATTTTTTGCCGATCCGCACACATTGGAATTTCGCTAACTCCTCCGAAGGCTTTCGTTCCACCGGCACCACATTTGCTCAGGCCAATCTACACCCCGTGGCCATTAAAAGTTATCAAAATCATGACGCTGCACCCCAAGGTTTAGGTTCTAGGGGGCGCCAAAGATAACACTAAAATCCACATATTTAAAAGTCTTATAACTTTTTATTTTTGTCCTCACTGGCCTCCAAGTTTTCTAGGATGATGCAATGTCCAGCCATCAACACATTTGTGAAGGAATTTTTACTCCCCAAAAGAGCGCCCCCCCATGGCAGGAGAAAAAAGTCCATTTTTTCTTGTCCCCTAAGGTGAAAATACACATTGTTGAGTGTCACGCCTATACGCTTTGTCAAAATGACACAAAAATTGACACACACATGTAACTCAATAAGATCTACGAAAAAGTCAATGCGCGCGTATCTGTCAAATGTACGGTTAAAGGGTTATTCCGCATTTTTTGCCGATCCGCACACATTGGAATTTCGCTAACTCCTCCTAAGGCTTTCGTTCCACCGGCACCACATTTGCTCAGGCCAATCTACCCCCCATGGCCATTAAAAGTTATCAAAATCATGACGCTGCACCCCACGGTTTAGGTTCTAGGGGGCCCAAAGATAACCCTAAAATCCACATATTTAAAAGTCTTATAACTTTTTATTTTTGTCCTCACTGGCCTCCAAGTTTTCTAGGATGATGCAATGTCCAGCCATCAACACATTTGTGAAGGAATTTTTACTCCCCAAAAGAGCGCCCCCCATGGCAGGAGAAAAAAGTCCATTTTTTCTTGTCCTCTAAGGTGAAAATACATATTGTTGAGATTCACGCCTATACGCTTTGTCATATTGACACAAAATTTGACAATCACGTGCCTTGCCTGGTATCATTTTTTTCAGCACAACCTCACCTGTGCGAATTTACAGTTATTTTATCATGTTGACATACTGAATTTACACAATGGACCCAAATTCACACACAAAACATAAAATCCGAGTGGAAAAAAGTAACATTTTTACTGTGAAAACCACAAATATGTGTGATGAACTGTTTTTAAAACTTAAACTTCAAATAAAAATTGTAAACTTCAAAACATATGCAAATTTTTAACAAAGAACATAGTGATTTACCTCTATTTACATCAAAATGCAGGCAATGGCCCAGGCGTTCTTTGTAAAATTATTTACAAAACACTGTATAGTCTCACAAATGTCACTTTTTATTTATGCCACTACAAAAAAACATGATGTAAATGATGCATGATGTAAAACATGATGTAAAAAACTTGTGTTGATCCTCCTCTATGTCAGTCCATGTGTAATTTTTCCATAATTCTTTGTTTTTTGCAGCATTTTTGTTAGTGTAACTGCAGATTGTGCTGACAGTGTCTATGGCACAAAAAAAAAAATAAATTAAAATGCCTCAACATGAACCCCTGGTGGTCTCTGAGGGTGAAACCTGCTAACTGCTGCAGCTCTGTCAGCTTCAGTCTCCCATGCAGAGCTCTGAGCGCATGTGTGGCTCTGCACCCTTAGCAGCGTTGCTAACTCCTCAGTAAGGAAAGCCTGCTTCATGTCAGAGTCTCTAAACTCCAGAAGAAGTCGATAAAAGTCCCTTTCTTTCTAAAAAAAAAGTCGTTAGGGGGTCTGAAAAGTCATTGAATCTAACAACAAAGTCGCTAGGTTTGCAACTACGTGTCCCAGACTGCATCCCTGCTGAGAGTCCCTCCCTCCCTTCTCATGTTGCAGGAAGAACGTAAGCGCCCGCCCCTTGTCAATCAGTCACCATATAATTTTGGATTGGTTGTTGTGGTGAAGTTTTCCACCAATAGGAGAGATGTTGTGGTGTGTTTTTTTTTTCTTTTGGCAAGCCTTTTCCGCCTGTAAGAGCTGTCGCTAATGTCTGCATGCTATGTTTTCCTGTCTCATACAGCGCGATCGAGCGCCGAACGTGATCAAAATAAGCAGAAAAAAAGTATCGCGGACATAATTTATCATAACTCTGGTTTTATTTGGCCTATCAACACAATTTAAAAACTGGTATATAGGTTGAGGTCCTCACTTTTGAGATAAGTTGAAACGGAGAGTCAACGAGGCTCCGTCTTGCAGCTACATCCGGTTAAATATGTCATGTGACTTGAACGCACACACAGACACACACACACGCACACACGCACACACACACACACACACACACACACACACACACACACACACACACACACACTCAGAGTCTGGTTTTTAGCACCTGCAAAAACATGCTATTTACATATTTGACAAGAATGCAGAGGCTCCTTTTGCCCCTGAAAAAAATCAAATTTCAAACACAACTTGACTGGTCATTTCTCCAAAAGACAACCATGAAGCTCCATCCAAACCTGAAGCAGGCAGTTGGTGCATGTGTACAGTAACCTGAGGGGAGTGAGGTGAGTGCTTCTGAGGAGAACATGAGCAGTGAAGATTCACCTTGGAGCTAGAACAGAGACATGCACATGATTATACAGGGGCAGGGGCTCAAGTTTTTTCCAGTCGTTTATACAATATGGAAATTAATGTGAAATTAAAACACAAAGTATTAATAGAAAGGTAATGACTGTCCTGTGTAGGTGACAGTGATATCCAATAGGCTAGGCACTCACGAGGCTGGCTGTGGCAAGTGTAAGTGAAAGCAACACGCACTGGCAGGAAGAACAGCAAACGCAGATGAAGGAAAAGGGTCTTTGCAGTGATGGGCGTTACCAGAGAGGGCGATGGCCAGAGGACACAAATGGGACGGGGAGGAAGCACGTTGGGGGGGGGGGGGGGGACGCGACACGGCGCGGGCCCGCCAGTGCCCCAACGGGGTCCTAGTTATTATTATTATTATTTTTCCTCCCCTTTGAACTGGAAAATGGCCCACTTCCCACTGGCGAAAACTCATGAAATTTGGCAGGACGACCGGGCCTGGTGAAAAATTTGATATTCCGAAGTCGCCCAAACAAGAAAATGCAAAATGGCTCCATAGCGCCCCCTAAGGTGAAAATTCACACTATTCACTGTCACGCCTGTACGCTTTGTCAAAATGACACAAAAATTGACACACACATGTATCTCAATAAGATCTACAAAAAAGTCAGTGCGGGCGTATCTGTCAAATGTACGGTTAAAGGGTTATTTCGCATTTTTTGCCGATCCGCACACATTGGAATGTGGCTAACTCCTCCGAAGGCTTTCGTTCCACCGGCACCACATTTGCTCAGGCCAATCTACACCTCGTGGCCATTAAAAGTTATCAAAATCATGACGCTGCACCCCACGGTTTAGGTTCTAGGGGGCGCCAAAGATAACCCTAAAATCCACATATTTAAAAGTCTTATAACTTTTTATTTTTGTCCTCTCTGGCCTCCAAGTTTTCTAGGATGATGCAATGTCCAGCCATCAACACATTTGTGAAGGAATTTTTACTCCCCAAAAGAGCGCCCCCCCATGGCAGGAGAAAAAGTCAAGTTTTTCCTGCCCATCGCTCAATGGCTCAAACGCATCGCTCTCTCGGCAAAACCGAAAGGAGGAGCAACTTGCCATTTGGATATATACTAGCTGTGTTTGTGCCCTCACTCATGGTCCAGACTTTTTTCAAAAAGGACATGGAGTTTGTCTGCAGCGAGCGTTTTGGTAGAAACTGCGCCTCCCATTCATTATAATGGTAAATGACCACAGACAAGTGCGCACACCATCTTTGGACCTTGAGTGTGACGCGATCGGGAGGGGTAGGCGGTCGCGCTGGGGGCGGCGCGACACGGCTCGGGCCCGCCAGTGCCCCAACGGGGCCCTAGTTATTATTATTTTTCCTCCGCTTTAAACTGGAAAATGGCCCACTTCCCACTGGCGAAAACTCATGAAATTTGGCAGGACGACCGGGCCTGGTGAAAAATTCGATATTCTGAAGTCGCCCAAACAAGAAAATGCAAAATGGCTCCATAGCGCCCCCTAAGGTGAAAATTCACACTATTGACTGTCACGCCTGTACGCTTTGTCATATTGACACAAAAATTGACACACACATGTATCTCAATAAGATCTACAAAAAAGTCAGTGCGGGCGTATCTGTCAAATGTACGGTTAAAGGGTTATTTTGCATTTTTTGCAGATCCGCACACATTGGAATTTCGCTAACTCCTCCGAAGGCTTTCGTTCCACCGGCACCACATTTGCTCAGGCCAATCTACACTCCATGGCCATTCAAAGTTGTACAAATCATAATGCTGCACCCCATGGTTTAGGTTCTAGGGGGCGCCAAAAATAACCCAAAAATCCACATTCTTAAAAGTTTTATAAATTTTTTTTTTTGTCCTCACTGGCCTCCAAGTTTTCTAGGATGATGCAATGTCCAGCCATCAACACATTTGTGAAGGAATTTTTACTCCCCAAAAGAGCGCCCCCCCATGGCAGGAATAAAAAGTCCATTTTTTCTTGTCCCCTAAGGTGAAAATACACATTGTTGAGTGTCACGCCTGTACGCTTTGTCATATTGACAAAAAATTTGATACACACGTGTATCTCAATAAGATCTACGAAAAAGTCAATGGGCGCGTATCTGTAAAATGTACGGCTAAAGGGCTATTTTGCATTTTTTGCCGATTCGCACACATTGGAATGTGGCTACCTCCTCCTAAGGCTTTCGTCCCACTGACACCAAATTTGCTCAGGCCAATCTACACCCCATGGCCATTCAAAGTTGTAAAAATCATGCCGCTGCACCCCATGGTTTACGTTCTAGGGGGCGCCAAAGATGACCCAAATATCCACATTCTTAAAAGTCGTTTTGGCCACTGCAGGAGTACAGAGTACTGCAGGATACACACACACAGACACACACACACACAGACACACACACACACACACACACACACACACTCAGAGTCTGTTTTTTAGCACCTGCAAAAACATGCTATTTACATATTTGACAACAATGCAGAGGCTTCCTTTTGCCCCTGAAAAAAATCAAATTTCAAACACAACTTGACTGGTCATTTCTCCAAAAGACAACCATGAAGCTCCATCCAAACCTGAAGCAGGCAGTTGGTGCATGTGTACAGTAACCTGAGGGGAGTGAGGTGAGTGCTTCTGAGGAGAACATGAGCAGTGAAGATTCACCTTGGAGCGAGAACAGGGACGTGCACATGATTATACGGGGGCGGGGGCTCAAGTTTTTTCCAGTCGTTTATACAATATGGAAATTAATGTGAAATTAAAAAACAAAGTATTAATAGAAAGGTAATGACTGTCCTGTGTAGGTGACAGTGATATCCAATAGGCTAGGCACTCACAAGGCTGGCTGTGGCAAGTGTAAGTGAAAGCAACACGCACTGGCAGGAAGAACAGCAAACGCCGATGAAGGAAAAGGGTCTTTGCAGTGATGGGCGTTACCAGAGAGGACGATGGCCAGAGGACGCGAATGGGACGGGGAGGCAGCGCGTTGGGGGGGGGGGGGGGGGGGGGGGGGGGCGACACAGCTCGGGCCCGCCAGTGCCCCAACGGGGCCCTAGTATTATTAGGGCCCGAGCGTAGCTGCTAAGCAGCTGCGAGAGCCCTCTTGTTCCTGCATGTTTCCTTCTTTCGTTATTATTTTTCCTCCGCTTTAAACTGGAAAATGGCCCACTTCCCACTGGCGAAAACTCAGGAAATTTGGCAGGACGACCGGGCCTGGTGAAAAATTCGATATTCTGAAGTCGCCCAAACAATAAAATGCAAAATGGCTCCATAGCGCCCCCTAAGGTGAAAATTCACATGACGGCTGTACGCTTTGTCAAAATGACACAAAAATTGACACACACATGTATCTCAATAAGATCTACAAAAAAGTCAGTGCGGGCGTATCTGTCAAATGTACGGTTAATGGGTTATTTTGCATTTTTTGCAGATCTGCACACATTGGAATTTCGCTAACTCCTCCGAAGGCTTTCGTTCGACCGGCACCACATTTGCGCAGGCCAATCTACCCCCCATGGCCATTAAAAGTTGTACAAATCATGACGCTGCACCCCACGGTTTACGTTCTAGGGGGCGCCAAAGATAACCCAAAATCCACATTCTTAAAAGTCTTATAACTTTTTATTTTTGTCCTCAATGCCCTCCAAGTTTTCTAGGATGATGCAATGTCCAGCCATCAACACATTTGTGAAGGAATTTTTACTCCCCAAAAGAGCGCCCCCCCATGGCAGGAGAAAAAAGTCAATTTTTTCTTGTCCCCTTACATGAAAATACACATTGTTGAGTGTCATGCCTGAACGCTTTGTCATATTGACACAAAAATTGACAATCACGTGTATCTCAATTAGATCTACGAAAAAGTCAAAAAGCGCGTATCTGTATAATGTACGGTTAAAGGGCTATTTCGCATTTTTTGCCGATTCGCACACATTGGAATGTGGCTATCTCCTCCTAAGGCTTTCGTCCCATCGATACCAAATTTGCTCAGGGCAATCTACACCCCATGCCCATGCAAAGTTGTAAAAATCATGACGCTGCACCCCACGGTTTACGTTCTAGGGGGCACCAAAGATGACCCAAAAATCCACATTCTTAAAAGTCATTTTGGCCACTGCAGGAGTACAGAGTACTGCAGTTCTAGGGGGCGCCAAAGATGACCCAAAAATCCACATTCTTAAAAGTCTTTTTGGCCACTGCAGGAGTACAGAGTACTGCAGGATACACACACATATACACACTTACACACACACATACACATACACACACACACACACACACACACACACACACACACACACACACACACACACACACACACACACTCAGAGTCTGTTTTTTAGCACCTGCAAAAACATGCTGTTTACATATTTGACAAGAATGCAGAGGCTTCCTTTTGCCCCTGAAAAAAATCAGATTTCAAACACAACTTGACTGTTCATTTCTCCAAAAGACAACCATGAAGCTCCATCCAAACCTGAAGCAGATAGTTGGTGCATGTGTACAGTAACCTGAGGGGAGTGAGGTGACTATTTCTGAGGAGAACATGAGCAGTGAAGATTCACCTTGGAGCTAGAACAGGGACGTGCACATGATTATACAGGGGCAGGGGCTCAAGTTTTTTCCAGTCATTTATACAATATGGAAATTAATGTGAAATTAAAACACAAATATGTGTGATGAACTGTTTTTAAAACTTAAACTTCAAATAAAAATTGTAAACTTCAAAACATATGCAAATTTTTAACAAAGAACATAGTAATTTACCTCTATTTACATCAAAATGCAGGCAATGGCCCAGGCGTTCTTTGTAAAATTATTTACAAAACACTGTATAGTCTCACAAATGTCACTTTTTATTTATGCCACTACAAAAAAACATGATGTAAATGATGCATGATGTAAAACATGATGTAAAAAACTTGTGTAGATCCTCCTCTATGTCAGTCCATGTGTAATTTTTCCATAATTCTTTGTTTTTTGCAGCATTTTTGTTAGTGTAACTGCAGATTGTGCTGACAGTCTATGGCAAAAAAAAACAAAAACTGAAAATGCCTCAACATGAACCCCTGGTGGTCTCTGAGGGTGAAACCTGCTAACTGCTGCAGCTCTGTCAGCTTCAGTCTCCCATGCAGAGCTCGGAGCGCATGTGTGGCTCTGCACCCTTAGCAGCGTTGCTAACTCCTCAGTAAGGAAAGCCTGCTTCATGTCAGAGTCTCTAAACTCCAGAAGAAGTCGATAAAAGTCCCTTTCTTTCTAAAAAAAGTCGTTAGGGGGTCTGAAAAGTAATTGAATCTAACAACAAAGTCGCTAGGTTTGCAACTACGTGTCCCAGACTGCATCCCTGCTGAGAGTCCCTCCCTCCCTTCTCATGTTGCAGGAAGAACGTAAGCGCCCGCCCCTTGTCAATCAGTCACCATATAATTTTGGATTGGTTGTTGTGGTGAAGTTTTCCACCAATAGGAGAGATGTTGTGGTGTGTTTTTTTTTTCTTTTGGCAAGCCTTTTCCGCCTGTAAGACCTGTCACTAATGTGTGCATGCTATGTTTTCCTGTCTCATACAGCGCGATCGAGCGCCGAACGTGATCAAAATAAGCAGAAAAAAAGTATCGCGGACATAATTTATCATAACTCTGGTTTTATTTGGCCTATCAACACAATTTAAAAACTGGTATATAGGTTGAGGTCCTCACTTTTGAGATAAGTTGAAACGGAGAGTTAACGAGGCTCCGTCTTGCAGCTACATCCGGTTAAATATGTCATGTGACTTGAACGCTGGGGAGCGTCAATCGAATCGAATCAAACCTAACTCTCAGATGAATCTTCAAAATTCACCTCAGAAATATGCTTATTATTCTTCTCAGAGTACTGCAGGATACACACACACACACACACACACAGACACACACACGCACACACACACACACACACTCAGAGTCTGTTTTTTAGCACCTGCAAAAACATGCTATTTACATATTTGACAAGAATGCAGAGGCTTCCTTTTGCCCCTGAAAAAAATCAAATTTCAAACACAACTTGACTGCTCATTTCTCCAAAAGACAACCATGAAGCTCCATCCAAACCTGAAGCAGGCAGTTGGTGCATGTGTACAGTAACCTGAGGGGAGTGAGGTGACTGCTTCTGAGGAGAACATGAGCAGTGAAGATTCACCTTGGAGCTAGAACAGGGACGTGCACATGATAATACAGGGGCAGGGGCTCAAGTTTTTTCCAGTCGTTTATACAATATGGAAATTAATGTGAAATTAAAAAACAAAGTATGACTGTCCTGTGTAGGTGACAGTGATATCCAATAGGCTAGGCACTCACGAGGCTGGCTGTGGCAAGTGTAAGTGAAAGCAACACGCACTGGCAGGAAGAACAGCAAACGCCGATGAAGGAAAAGGGTCTTTGCAGTGATGGGCGTTACCAAAGAGGGCGATGGCCAGAGGACACAAATGGGACGGGGAGGCAGCGCGTTGGGGGGGGGACGCGACACAGCTCGGGCCCGCCAGTGCCCCAACGGGGCCCTAGTTATTATTTTTCCTCCGCTTTAAACTGGAAAATGGCCCACTTCCCACTGGCGAAAACTCAGGAAATTTGGCAGGACGACCGGGCCTGGTGAAAAATTCGATATTCTGAAGTCGCCCAAACAATAAAATACAAAATGGCTCCATAGCGCCCCCTAAGGTGAAAATTTACACTATTGACTGTCACGCCTGTACGCTTTGTCATATTGACACAAAAATTGACACACACATGTATCTCAATAAGATCTACAAAAAAGTCAGTGCGGGCGTATCTGTCAAATGTACGGTTAAAGGGTTATTTCGCATTTTTTGCAGATCCGCACACATTGGAATTTCGCTAACTCCTCCGAAGGCTTTCGGTCCACCGGCACCACATTTGCTCAGGCCAATCTACACTCCATGGCCATTCAAAGTTGTACAAATCATGATGCTGCACCCCATGGTTTAGGTTCTAGGGGGCGCCAAAAATAACCCTAAAATCCACATTCTTAAAAGTTTTATAACTTTTTATTTTTGCCCTCACTGGCCTCCAAGTTTTCTAGGATGATGCAATGTCCAGCCATCAACACATTTGTGAAGGAATTTTTACTCCCCAAAAGAGCGCCCCCCCATGGCAGGACAAAAAAGTCAATTTTTTCTTGTCCCCTAAGGTGAAAATACACATTGTTGAATGTCACGCCTGTACGCTTTGTCATATTGACACAAAATTTGACAATCACGTGTATCTCAATAAGATCTACGAAAAAGTCAACGCGCGCGTATCTGTAAAATGTACGGTTAAAGGGCTATTTCGCATTTTTTGCAGATCCGCACACATTGGAATGTGGCTAACTCCTCCTAAGGCTTTCGTTCCGCCGGCACCACATTTGCTCAGGCCAATCTACACCCCATGGCCATTCAAAGTTGTAAAAATCATGACGCTGCACCCCATGGTCTACGTTCTAGGGGGCGCCAAAGAGGACCCAAATATCCACATTTTTAAAGTCTTATAACTTTTTATTTTTGTCCTCACTGGCCTCCAAGTTTTCTAGGATGATGCAATGTCCAGCCATCAACACATTTGTGAAGGAATTTTTTCTCCCCAAAAGAGCGCCCCCCCATGGCAGTCGAAAAAGTCAAGTTTTTCCTGCCCATCGCTCAATGGCTCAAACGCATCGCTCTATCGGCAAAACGGAAAGGAGGAGCAACTTGCCATTTGGATATATACTAGCTGTGTTTGTGCCCTCACTCATGGTCCAGACTTTTTTCAAAAAGGACATGGAGTTTGTCTGCAGCGAGCGTTTTGGTAGAAACTGCGCCTCCCATTCATTATAATGGTAAATGACCACAGACAAGTGCGCACACCATCTTTGGACCTTGAGTGTGACGCGATCGGGAGGGGTAGGCGGTCGCGCTGGGGGCGGCGCGACACGGCTCGGGCCCGCCAGTGCCCCAACGGGGCCCTAGTTCTTTCTTTCTTAGGGCCCGAGCGTAGCTGCTAAGCAGCTGCGAGAGCCCTCTTGTTCCTGATGGATTCTTCTTTTGTTATTTAGGGCCCGAGCGTAGCTGCTAAGCAGCTGCGAGAGCCCTCTTGTTCCTGATGGATTCTTCTTTTGTTATTATTAGGGCCCGAGCGTAGCTGCTAAGCAGCTGCGAGAGCCCTCTTGTTCCTGATGGATTCTTCTTTTGTTATTATTATTATTATTTTTCCTCCGCTTTAAACTGGAAAATGGCCCACTTCCCACTGGCGAAAACTCAGGAAATTTGGCAGGACGACCGGGCCTGGTGAAAAATTCGATATTCTGAAGTCGCCCAAACAATAAAATACAAAATGGCTCCATAGCGCCCCCTAAGGTGAAAATTCACACTATTGACTGTCACGTCTGTACGCTTTGTCATATTGACACAAAAATTGACACACACATGTATCTCAATAAGATCTACAAAAAAGTCAGTGCGGGCGTATCTGTCAAATGTACGGTTAAAGGGTTATTTCGCATTTTTTGCAGATCCGCACACATTGGAATTTCGCTAACTCCTCCGAAGGCTTTCGGTCCACCGGCACCACATTTGCTCAGGCCAATCTACACTCCATGGCCATTCAAAGTTGTACAAATCATGATGCTGCACCCCATGGTTTAGGTTCTAGGGGGCGCCAAAAATAACCCTAAAATCCACATTCTTAAAAGTTTTATAACTTTTTATTTTTGCCCTCACTGGCCTCCAAGTTTTCTAGGATGATGCAATGTCCAGCCATCAACACATTTGTGAAGGAATTTTTACTCCCCAAAAGAGCGCCCCCCCCATGGCAGGACAAAAAAGTCAATTTTTTCTTGTCCCCTAAGGTGAAAATACACATTGTTGAATGTCACGCCTGTACGCTTTGTCATATTGACACAAAATTTGACAATCACGTGTATCTCAATAAGATCTACGAAAAAGTCAATGCAGGCGTATCTGTCAAATGTACGGTTAAAGGGCTATTTCGCATTTTTTGCCGATTTGCACACATTGGAATGTGGCTAACTCCTCCTAAGGCTTTCGTCCCACTGACACCAAATTTGCTCAGGCCAATCTACACCCCATGGCCATTCAAAGTTGTAAAAATCATGACGCTGCACCCTATGGTCTACGTTCTAGGGGGCGCCAAAGAGGACCCAAATATCCACATTTTTAAAGTCTTATAACTTTTTATTTTTGTCCTCACTGGCCTCCAAGTTTTCTAGGATGATGCAATGTCCAGCCATCAACACATTTGTGAAGGAATTTTTTCTCCCCAAAAGAGCGCCCCCCCATGGCAGGAGAAAAAGTCAAGTTTTTCCTGCCCATCGCTCAATGGCTCAAACGCATCGCTCTCTCGGCAAAACCGAAAGGAGGAGCAACTTGCCATTTGGATATATACTAGCTGTGTTTGTGCCCTCACTCATGGTCCAGACTTTTTTCAAAAAGGACATGGAGTTTGTCTGCAGCGAGCGTTTTGGTAGAAACTGCGCCTCCCATTCATTATAATGGTAAATGACCACAGACAAGTGCGCACACCATCTTTGGACCTTGAGTGTGACGCGATCGGGAGGGGGAGGCGGTCGCGCTGGGGGTGGCGTGACACGGCTCGGGCCCGCCAGTGCCCCACCGGGGCCCTAGTTATTATTATTATTTTTCCTCCGCTTTAAACTGGAAAATGGCCCACTTCCCACTGGCGAAAACTCATGAAATTTGGCAGGACGACCGGGCCTGGTGAAAAATTCGATATTCTGAAGTCGCCCAAACAATAAAATGCAAAATGGCTCCATAGCGCCCCCTAAGGTGGAAATTCACACTATTGACTGTCACGTCTGTACGTTTTGTCATATTGACACAAAAATTGACACACATATGTATCTCAATAAGATCTACAAAAAAGTCAGTGCGGGCGTATCTGTCAAATGTACGGTTAAAGGGTTATTTCGCATTTTTTGCCGATCCGCACACATTGGAATTTCGCTAACTCCTCCGAAGGCTTTCGTTCCACCGGCACCACATTTGCTCAGGCCAGTCTACACCCCATGGCCATTAAAAGTTGTACAAATCATGACGCTGCACCCCACGGTTTAGGTTCTAGGGGGCGCCAAAGATAACCCAAAAATCCACATTCTTAAAAGTCTTATAACTTTTTATTTTTGTCCTCACTGCCCTCCAAGTTTTCTAGGATGATGCAATGTCCAGCCATCAACACATTTTTGAAGGAATTTTTACTCCCCAAAAGAGCGCCCCCCCATGGCAGGAGAAAAAAGTCAATTATTTCTTGTCCCCTTACATGAAAATACACATTGTTGAGTGTCACGCCTGAACGCTTTGTCATATTGACACAAAAATTGACAATCATGTGTATCTCAATTAGATCTACGAAAAAGTCAAAGAGCGCGTATCTGTATAATGTACGGTTAAAGGGCTATTTCGCATTTTTTGCCGATTCGCACACATTGGAATGTGGCTATCTCCTCCTAAGGCTTTCGTCCCACTGATACCAAATTTGCTCAGGGCAATCTACACCCCATGCCCATTCAAAGTTGTAAAAATCATGACGCTGCACCCCACGGTTTACGTTCTAGGGGGCGCCAAAGATGACCCAAAAATCCACATTCTTAAAAGTCATTTTGGCCACTGCAGGAGTACAGAGTACTGCAGTTCTAGGGGGCGCCAAAGATGACCCAAAAATCCACATTCTTAAAAGTCTTTATGGCCACTGCAGGAGTACAGAGTACTGCAGGATACACACACATATACACACACGCCAACACACACACACACACACACACACACACACACACACACACACACACACACTCAGAGTCTGTTTTTTAGCACCTGCAAAAACATGCTGTTTACATATTTGACAAGAATGCAGAGGCTTCCTTTTGCCCCTGAAAAAAATCAAATTTCAAACACAACTTGACTGTTCATTTCTCCAAAAGACAACCATGAAGTTCCATCCAAACCTGAAGCAGATAGTTGGTGCATGTGTACAGTAACCTGAGGGGAGTGAGGTGACTATTTCTGAGGAGAACATGAGCAGTGAAGATTCACCTTGGAGCTAGAACAGGGACGTGCACATGATTATACAGGGGCAGGGGCTCAAGTTTTTTCCAGTCATTTATACAATATGGAAATTAATGTGAAATTAAAAAACAAAGTATTAATAGAAAGGTTATGACTGTCCTGTGTAGATGACAGTGATATCCAATAGGCTAGGCACTCACGAGGCTGGCTGTGGCAAGTGTAAGTGAAAGCAACACGCACTGGCAGGAAGAACAGCAAACGCCGATGAAGGAAAAGGGTCTTTGCAGTGATGGGCGTTACCAGAGAGGGCGATGGCCAGAGGAAACAAATGGGACGGGGAGGCAGCGCGTTGGGGGGGGGACGCGACACAGCTCGGGCCCGCCAGTGCCCCAACGGGGTCCTAGTTAGGGCCCGAGCGTAGCTGCTAAGCAGCTGCGAGAGCCCTCTTGTTCCTGCATGTTTCCTTCTTTTGTTATTATTATTATTATTATTTTTCCTCCCCTTTGAACTGGAAAATGGCCCACTTCCCACTGGCGAAAACTCATGAAATTTGGCAGGACGACCGGGCCTGGTGAAAAATTTGATATTCCGAAGTCGCCCAAACAAGAAAATGCAAAATGGCTCCATAGCGCCCCCTAAGGTGAAAATTCACACTATTGACTGTCACGCCTGTACGCTTTGTCAAAATGACACAAAAATTGACACACACATGTATCTCAATAAGATCTACAAAAAAGTCAGTGCGGGCGTATCTGTCAAATGTACGGTTAAAGGGTTATTTCGCATTTTTTGCCGATCCGCACACATTGGAATTTCGCTAACTCCTCCGAAGGCTTTCGTTCCACCGGCACCACATTTGCTCAGGCCAATCTACACCCCATGGCCATTAAAAGTTATTCAAATCATGACGCTGCACCCCACGGTTTAGGTTCTAGGGGGCGCCAAAGATAACCCTAAAATCCACATATTTAAAAGTCTTATAACTTTTTATTTTTGCCCTCACTGGCCTCCAAGTTTTCTAGGATGATGCAATGTCCAGCCATCAACACATTTGTGAAGGAATTTTTACTCCCCAAAAGAGCGCCCCCCATGGCAGGAGAAAAAAGTCCATTTTTTCTTGTCCCCTAAGGTGAAAATTCACACTATTGACTGTCACGCCTGTACGCTTTGTCAAAATGACACAAAAATTGACACACACATGTATCTCAATAAGATCTACAAAAAAGTCCATGCGCGCGTATCTGTCTAATGTACGGTTAAAGGGTTATTTCGCATTTTTTGCCGATCCGCACACATTGGAATTTCGCTAACTCCTCCGAAGGCTTTCGTTCCACCGGCACCACATTTGCTCAGGCCAATCTACACCCCATGGCCATTAAAAGTTATTCAAATCATGACGCTGCACCCCACGGTTTACGTTCTAGGGGGCGCCAAAGATAACCGTAAAATCCACATATTTAAAAGTCTTATAACTTTTTATTTTTGTCCTCACTGGCCTCCAAGTTTTCTAGGATGATGCAATGTCCAGCCATCAACACATTTGTGAAGGAATTTTTACTCCCTAAAAGAGCGCCCCCCCATGGCAGGAGAAAAAAGTCCATTTTTTCTTGTCCCCTTACATAAAAATACACATTGTTGAGTGTCACGCCTGAACGCTTTGTCATATTGACACAAAAATTGACAATCATGTGTATCTCAATTAGATCTACGAAAAAGTCAAAGAGCGCGTATCTGTATAATGTACGGTTAAAGGGCTATTTTGCATTTTTTGCCGATTCGCACACATTGGAATGTGGCTATCTCCTCCTAAGGCTTTCGTCCCACCGATACCAAATTTGCTCAGGGCAATCTACACCCCATGCCCATTCAAAGTTGTAAAAATCATGACGCTGCACCCCACGGTTTAGGTTCTAGGGGGCGCCAAAGATGACCCAAAAATCCACATTCTTAAAAGTCATTTTGGCCACTGCAGGAGTACAGAGTACTGCAGTTCTAGGGGGCGCCAAAGATGACCCAAAAATCCACATTCTTAAAAGTCTTTTTGGCCACTGCAGGAGTACAGAGTACTGCAGGATACACACACATATACACACACGCCAACATACACACACACACACACACACACACACACACACACACACACACACACACACAGACACACACCCACACTCAGAGTCTGTTTTTTAGCACCTGCAAAAACATGCTGTTTACATATTTGACAAGAATGCAGAGGCTTCCTTTTGCCCCTGAAAAAAATCAAATTTCAAACACAACTTGACTGTTCATTTCTCCAAAAGACAACCATGAAGCTCCATTTCAAACCTGAAGCAGATAGTTGGTGCATGTGTACAGTAACCTGAGGGGAGTGAGGTGACTATTTCTGAGGAGAACATGAGCAGTGAAGATTCACCTTGGAGCTAGAACAGGGACGTGCACATGATTATACAGGGGCAGGGGCTCAAGTTTTTTCCAGTCATTTATACAATATGGAAATTAATGTGAAATTAAACCACAAATATGTGTGATGAACTGTTTTTAAAACTTAAACTTCAAATAAAAATTGTAAATTTCAAAACATGTGCAAATTTTTAACAAAGAACATAGTAATTTACCTCTATTTACATCAAAATGCAGGCAATGGCCCAGGCGTTCTTTGTAAAATTATTTACAAAACACTGTATAGTCTCACAAATGTCACTTTTTATTTATGCCACTACAAAAAAACATGATGTAAATGATGCATGATGTAAAACATGATGTAAAAAACTTGTGTAGATCCTCCTCTATGTCAGTCCATGTGTAATTTTTCCATAATTCTTTGTTTTTTGCAGCATTTTTGTTAGTGTAACTGCAGATTGTGCTGACAGTGTCTATGGCACAAAAAAAAAAAAAATTAAAATGCCTCAACATGAACCCCTGGTGGTCTCTGAGGGTGAAACCTGCTAACTGCTGCAGCTCTGTCAGCTTCAGTCTCCCATGCAGAGCTCTGAGCGCATGTGTGGCTCTGCACCCTTAGCAGCGTTGCTAACTCCTCAGTAAGGAAAGCCTGCTTCATGTCAGAGTCTCTAAACTCCAGAAGAAGTCGATAAAAGTCCCTTTCTTTCTAAAAAAAAGTCGTTAGGGGGTCTGAAAAGTCATTGAATCTAACAACAAAGTCGCTAGGTTTGCAACTACGTGTCCCAGACTGCATCCCTGCTGAGAGTCCCTCCCTCCCTTCTCATGTTGCAGGAAGAACGTAAGCGCCCGCCCCTTGTCAATCAGTCACCATATAATTTTGGATTGGTTGTTGTGGTGAAGTTTTCCACCAATAGGAGAGATGTTGTGGTGTGTTTTTTTTTTCTTTTGGCAAGCCTTTTCCGCCTGTAAGACCTGTCGCTAATGTCTGCATGCTATGTTTTCCTGTCTCATACAGCGCGATCGAGCGCCGAACGTGATCAAAATAAGCAGAAAAAAAGTATCGCGGACATAATTTATCATAACTCTGGTTTTATTTGGCCTATCAACACAATTTAAAAACTGGTATATAGGTTGAGGTCCTCACTTTTGAGATAAGTTGAAACGGAGAGTCAACGAGGCTCCGTCTTGCAGCTACATCCGGTTAAATATGTCATGTGACTTGAACGCACACATAGACACACACACACGCACACACACACACACACACACACACACACACACACACACACACACACTCAGAGTCTGGTTTTTAGCACCTGCAAAAACATGCTATTTACATATTTGACAAGAATGCAGAGGCTCCTTTTGCCCCTGAAAAAAATCAAATTTCAAACACAACTTGACTGGTCATTTCTCCAAAAGACAACCATGAAGCTCCATCCAAACCTGAAGCAGGCAGTTGGTGCATGTGTACAGTAACCTAAGGGGAGTGAGGTGAGTGCTTCTGAGGAGAACATGAGCAGTGAAGATTCACCTTGGAGCTAGAACAGAGACATGCACATGATTATACAGGGGCAGGGGCTCAAGTTTTTTCCAGTCGTTTATACAATATGGAAATTAATGTGAAATTAAAACACAAAGTATTAATAGAAAGGTAATGACTGTCCTGTGTAGGTGACAGTGATATCCAATAGGCTAGGGGGGGGGGGGGGGGACGCGACACGGCACGGGCCCGCCAGTGCCCCAACGGGGTCCTAGTTATTATTTTTCCACCGCTTTAAACTGGAAAATGGCCCACTTCCCACTGGCGAAAACTCATGAAATTTGGCAGGACGACCGGGCCTGGTGAAAAATTCGATATTCTGAAGTCGCCCAAACAATAAAATGCAAAATGGCTCCATAGCGCCCCCTAAGGTGGAAATTCACACTATTGACTGTCACGTCTGTACGTTTTGTCATATTGACACAAAAATTGACACACATATGTATCTCAATAAGATCTACAAAAAAGTCAGTGCGGGCGTATCTGTCAAATGTACGGTTAAAGGGTTATTTCGCATTTTTTGCCGATCCGCACACATTGGAATTTCGCTAACTCCTCCGAAGGCTTTCGTTCCACCGGCACCACATTTGCTCAGGCCAGTCTACACCCCATGGCCATTAAAAGTTGTACAAATCATGACGCTGCACCCCACGGTTTAGGTTCTAGGGGGCGCCAAAGATAACCCAAAATCCACATTCTTAAAAGTCTTATAACTTTTTATTTTTGTCCTCACTGCCCTCCAAGTTTTCTAGGATGATGCAATGTCCAGCCATCAACACATTTTTGAAGGAATTTTTACTCCCCAAAAGAGCGCCCCCCCATGGCAGGAGAAAAAAGTCAATTTTTTCTTGTCCCCTTACATGAAAATACACATTGTTGAGTGTCACGCCTGAACGCTTTGTCATATTGACACAAAAATTGACAATCATGTGTATCTCAATTAGATCTACGAAAAAGTCAAAGAGCGCGTATCTGTATAATGTACGGTTAAAGGGCTATTTCGCATTTTTTGCCGATTCGCACACATTGGAATGTGGCTATCTCCTCCTAAGGCTTTCGTCCCACTGATACCAAATTTGCTCAGGGCAATCTACACCCCATGCCCATTCAAAGTTGTAAAAATCATGACGCTGCACCCCACGGTTTACGTTCTAGGGGGCGCCAAAGATGACCCAAAAATCCACATTCTTAAAAGTCATTTTGGCCACTGCAGGAGTACAGAGTACTGCAGTTCTAGGGGGCGCCAAAGATGACCCAAAAATCCACATTCTTAAAAGTCTTTATGGCCACTGCAGGAGTACAGAGTACTGCAGGATACACACACATATACACACACGCCAACACACACACACACACACACACACACACACACACACACACACACACACACACACACACACACTCAGAGTCTGTTTTTTAGCACCTGCAAAAACATGCTGTTTACATATTTGACAAGAATGCAGAGGCTTCCTTTTGCCCCTGAAAAAAATCAAATTTTAAACACAACTTGACTGTTCATTTCTCCAAAAGACAACCATGAAGTTCCATCCAAACCTGAAGCAGATAGTTGGTGCATGTGTACAGTAACCTGAGGGGAGTGAGGTGACTATTTCTGAGGAGAACATGAGCAGTGAAGATTCACCTTGGAGCTAGAACAGGGACGTGCACATGATTATACAGGGGCAGGGGCTCAAGTTTTTTCCAGTCATTTATACAATATGGAAATTAATGTGAAATTAAAAAACAAAGTATTAATAGAAAGGTTATGACTGTCCTGTGTAGATGACAGTGATATCCAATAGGCTAGGCACTCACGAGGCTGGCTGTGGCAAGTGTAAGTGAAAGCAACACGCACTGGCAGGAAGAACAGCAAACGCCGATGAAGGAAAAGGGTCTTTGCAGTGATGGGCGTTACCAGAGAGGGCGATGGCCAGAGGAAACAAATGGGACGGGGAGGCAGCGCGTTGGGGGGGGGGACGCGACACAGCTCGGGCCCGCCAGTGCCCCAACGGGGTCCTAGTTAGGGCCCGAGCGTAGCTGCTAAGCAGCTGCGAGAGCCCTCTTGTTCCTGATGGATTCTTCTTTAGGGCCCGAGCGTAGCTGCTAAGCAGCTGCGAGAGCCCTCTTGTTCCTGATGGATTCTTCTTTTGTTATTATTATTATTATTATTTTTCCTCCGCTTTAAACTGGAAAAAAACTCACTTCCCACTGGCGAAAACTCATGAAATTTGGCAGGACGACCGGGCCTGGTGAAAAATTCGATATTCTGAAGTCGCCCAAACAATAAAATGCAAAATGGCTCCATAGCGCCCCCTAAGGTGAAAATTCACACTATTGACTGTCACGCCTTTACGCTTTGTCATATTGACACAAAAATTGACACACACATGTATCTCAATAAGATCTACAAAAAAGTCAGTGCGGGCGTATCTGTCAAATGTACGGTTAAAGGGTTATTTTGCATTTTTTGCCGATCCGCACACATTGGAATTTTGCTAACTCCTCCGAAGGCTTTCGTTCCAACGGCACCACATTTGCTCAGGCCAATCTACACCCCATGGCCATTAAAAGTTGTACAAATCATGACGCTGCACCCCACGGTTTACGTTCTAGGGGGCGCCAAAGATAACCCTAAAATCCACAGTCTTTAAAGTCTTATAACTTTTTATTTTTGTCCTCACTGGCCTCCAAGTTCTCTAGGATGATGCAATGTCCAGCCATCAACACATTTGTGAAGGAATTTTTACTCCCCAAAAGAGCGCCCCCCAATGGCAGGAGAAAAAAGTCCATTTTTTCTTGTCTCCTAAGGCGAAAATACACATTGTTGACTGTCACGCCTTTACGCTTTGTCAAAATGACACAAAAATTGACACTCACATGTATCTCAATACGATCTACGAAAAAGTCAATGCGAGCGTATCTGTTCAATGTACGGTTAAAGGGCTATTTCGCATTTTTTGCCGATTCGCACATAATGGAATGTGGCTAACTCCTCCTAAGACTTTCATCCCACTGACACCAAATTTGCTCAGGTCAATCTACACCCCATGGCCATTCAAAGATGTACAAATCATGACGCCGCACCCCACGGTTTACGTTCTAGGGGGCGCCAAAGAGGCCCCAAATATCCACATTTTTAGAAGTCTTATAACTTTTTATTTTTGTCCTCACTGGCCTCCAAGTTTTCTAGGATGATGCAATGTCCAGCCATCAACACATTCGTGAGGGAATTTTTACTCCCCAAAAGAGCGCCCCCCCATGGCAGGAGAAAAAGTCAAGTTTTTCCTGCCCATCGCTCAATGGCTCAAACACATCGCTCTCTCGGCAAAACGGAAAGGAGGAGCAACTTGCCATTTGGATATATACTAGCTGTGTTTGTGCCCTCACTCATGGTCCAGACTTTTTTCAAAAAGGACATGGAGTTTGTCTGCAGCGAGCGTTTTGGTAGAAACTGCGCCTCCCATTCATTATAATGGTAAATGACCACAGACAAGTGCGCACACCATCTTTGGACCTTGAGTGTGACGTGATCGGGAGGGGTAGGCGGTTGCGCTGGGGGCGGCGCGACACGGCTCGGGCCCGCCAGTGCCCCAACGGGGCCCTAGTTTGTTATTATTATTATTTTTCCTCCGCTTTAAACTGGAAAATGGCCCACTTCCCACTGGCGAAAACTCATGAAAATTGGCAGGACGACCGGGCCTGGTGAAAAATTCGATATTCTGAAGTCGCCCAAACAAGAAAATGCAAAATGGCTCAATAGCGCCCCCTAAGGTGGAAATTCACACTATTGACTGTAACGCCTGTACGCTTTGTCATATTGACACAAAAATTGACACACACATGTATCTCAATAAGATCTACAAAAAAGTCAGTGCGGGCGTATCTGTCAAATGTACGGTTAAAGGGTTATTTCGCATTTTTTTCCGATCCGCACACATTGGAATTTCGCTAACTCCTCCGAAGGCTTTCGTTCCACCGGCACCACATTTGCTCAGGCCAGTCTACACCCCATGGCCATTGAAAGTTGTACAAATCATGACGCTGCACCCCACGGTTTACGTTCTAGGGGGCGCCAAAGATAACCCACAAATCCACATTCTTAAAAGTCTTATAACTTTTTATTTTTGTCCTCATTGGCCTCCAAGTTTTCTAGGATGATGCAATGTCCAGCCATCAACACATTTTTGAAGGAATTTTTACTCCCCAAAAGAGCGCCCCCCCATGGCAGGAGAAAAAAGTCAATTTTTTCTTGTCCCCTTACATGAAAATACACATTGTTGAGTGTCACGCCTGAACGCTTTGTCATATTGACACAAAAATTGACAATCATGTGTATCTCAATTAGATGTACGAAAAAGTCCATGCGCGCGTATCTGTATAATGTACGGTTAAAGGGCTATTTCGCATTTTTTGCCGATTCGCACACATTGGAATGTGGCTATCTCCTCCTAAGGCTTTCGTCCCACTGATACCAAATTTGCTCAGGGCAATCTACACCCCATGCCCATTCAAAGTTGTAAAAATCATGACGCTGCACCCCACGGTTTACGTTCTAGGGGGCGCCAAAGATGACCCAAAAATCCACATTCTTAAAAGTCATTTTGGCCACTGCAGGAGTACAGAGTACTGCAGTTCTAGGGGGCGCCAAAGATGACCCAAAAATCCACATTCTTAAAAGTCTTTATGGCCACTGCAGGAGTACAGAGTACTGCAGGATACACACACATATACACACACGCCAACACACACACACACACACACACACACACACACACACACACACACACACACACACTCAGAGTCTGTTTTTTAGCACCTGCAAAAACATGCTGTTTACATATTTGACAAGAATGCAGAGGCTTCCTTTTGCCCCTGAAAAAAATCAAATTTCAAACACAACTTGACTGTTCATTTCTCCAAAAGACAACCATGAAGTTCCATCCAAACCTGAAGCAGATAGTTGGTGCATGTGTACAGTAACCTGAGGGGAGTGAGGTGACTATTTCTGAGGAGAACATGAGCAGTGAAGATTCACCTTGGAGCTAGAACAGGGACGTGCACATGATTATACAGGGGCAGGGGCTCAAGTTTTTTCCAGTCATTTATACAATATGGAAATTAATGTGAAATTAAAAAACAAAGTATTAATAGAAAGGTTATGACTGTCCTGTGTAGATGACAGTGATATCCAATAGGCTAGGCACTCACGAGGCTGGCTGTGGCAAGTGTAAGTGAAAGCAACACGCACTGGCAGGAAGAACAGCAAACGCCGATGAAGGAAAAGGGTCTTTGCAGTGATGGGCGTTACCAGAGAGGGCGATGGCCAGAGGAAACAAATGGGACGGGGAGGCAGCACGTTGGGGGGGGGGACGCGACACAGCTCGGGCCCGCCAGTGCCCCAACGGGGTCCTAGTTATTATTATTATTTTTCCTCCGCTTTAAACTGGAAAATGGCCCACTTCCCACTGGCGAAAACTCATGAAATTTGGCAGGACGACCGGGCCTGGTGAAAAATTCGATATTCTGAAGTCGCCCAAACAATAAAATGCAAAATGGCTCCATAGCGCCCCCTAAGGTGGAAATTCACACTATTGACTGTCACGTCTGTACGTTTTGTCATATTGACACAAAAATTGACACACATATGTATCTCAATAAGATCTACAAAAAAGTCAGTGCGGGCGTATCTGTCAAATGTACGGTTAAAGGGTTATTTCGCATTTTTTGCCGATCCGCACACATTGGAATTTCGCTAACTCCTCCGAAGGCTTTCGTTCCACCGGCACCACATTTGCTCAGGCCAGTCTACACCCCATGGCCATTAAAAGTTGTACAAATCATGACGCTGCACCCCACGGTTTAGGTTCTAGGGGGCGCCAAAAATAACCCAAAAATCCACATTCTTAAAAGTCTTATAACTTTTTATTTTTGTCCTCACTGCCCTCCAAGTTTTCTAGGATGATGCAATGTCCAGCCATCAACACATTTGTGAAAGAATTTTTACTCCCCAAAAGAGCGCCCCCCCATGGCAGGAGAAAAAAGTCAATTTTTTCTTGTCCCCTTACATGAAAATACACATTGTTGAGTGTCGCGCCTGAACGCTTTGTCATATTGACACAAAAATTGACAATCATGTGTATCTCAATTAGATCTACGAAAAAGTCAAGAGCGCGTATCTGTATAATGTACGGTTAAAGGGCTATTTCGCATTTTTTGCCGATTCGCACACATTGGAATGTGGCTATCTCCTCCTAAGGCTTTCGTCCCACTGATACCAAATTTGCTCAGGGCAATCTACACCCCATGCCCATTCAAAGTTGTAAAAATCATGACGCTGCACCCCACGGTTTACGTTCTAGGGGGCGCCAAAGATGACCCAAAAATCCACATTCTTAAAAGTCATTTTGGCCACTGCAGGAGTACAGAGTACTGCAGTTCTAGGGGGCGCCAAAGATGACCCAAAAATCCACATTCTTAAAAGTCTTTTTGGCCACTGCAGGAGTACAGAGTACTGCAGGATACACACACATATACACACACGCCAACACACACACACACACACACACACACACACACACACACACACACACACACACTCAGAGTCTGTTTTTTAGCACCTGCAAAAACATGCTGTTTACATATTTGACAAGAATGCAGAGGCTTCCTTTTGCCCCTGAAAAAAATCAAATTTCAAACACAACTTGACTGTTCATTTCTCCAAAAGACAACCATGAAGCTCCATCCAAACCTGAAGCAGATAGTTGGTGCATGTGTACAGTAACCTGAGGGGAGTGAGGTGACTATTTCTGAGGAGAACATGAGCAGTGAAGATTCACCTTGGAGCTAGAACAGGGACATGCACATGATTATACAGGGGCAGGGGCTCAAGTTTTTTCCATTCATTTATACAATATGGAAATTAATGTGAAATTAAAAAACAAAGTATTAATAGAAAGGTTATGACTGTCCTGTGTAGATGACAGTGATATCCAATAGGCTAGGCACTCAAGAGGCTGGCTGTGGCAAGTGTAAGTGAAAGCAACACGCACTGGCAGGAAGAACAGCAAACGCCGATGAAGGAAAGGGTCTTTGCAGTGATGGGCGTTACCAGAGAGGACGATGGCCAGAGGACGCGAATGGGACGGGGAGGCAGCGCGTTGGGGGGGGCAGCGCGACACGGCTCGGGCCCGCCAGTGCCCCAACGGGGCCCTAGTTAGGGCCCGAGCGTAGCTGCTAAGCAGCTGCGAGAGCCCTCTTGTTCCTGCATGTTTCCTTCTTTCGTTATTATTTTTCCTCCGCTTTAAACTGGAAAATGGCCCACTTCCCACTGGCGAAAACTCAGGAAATTTGGCAGGACGACCGGGCCTGGTGAAAAATTCGATATTCTGAAGTCGCCCAAACAATAAAATGCAAAATGGCTCCATAGCGCCCCCTAAGGTGAAAATTCACATGACGGCTGTACGCTTTGTCATATTGACACAAAAATTGACACACACATGTATGTCAATAAGATCTACAAAAAAGTCAGTGCGGGCGTATCTGTCAAATGTACGGTTAATGGGTTATTTTGCATTTTT